CTTATCTCCCTGAGCTTGGACTTCATAATTCCATTCCATCACATAAATATATTTTAACTTTGTATATATAAATTTAATTTAACAGTGTGCATATGTGCAAAATACATACACATACATACACACACACATACAATGGTATGTGTGTGTGTGTGTGTGTGTATATCTATCTATCTATCTATCTATCTATCTATCTATCTATCTATCTATCTATCTATCCAGGAAGACCCACCCACTGGAAAGACAGTGATTAGCAATCCCATTCCTGAAAGAGAAAGATAGGAGGGCACACAGCAGAGAAACAGTCTAATGGGAGCAGGTGGCAGAGCCTGCATTCTACTCAAAATAATTTGCAAGCTACTGTCAAAGCATCTCAGTCCAGGCAGGGTTTTGTAAAACCGGCTTAGAGTCAAGCTGGTCTGAGTTCAGAACAGGAACAGCTGAAATGGTCACTGCAGATATATTCTGTTACTAAGGCAGAAGTAGGCCAATGGCAACAGTGTGGGCCACCGGCATCCTTAACCTTAATCTTCAGCCTAATATCAGGAGGCTCTGGCTTAATTTCAAAAGTCTTCTGCAAGACATTACTTGGCACCTCTGCCAGAAGCTTTTTTGTGCAAGGGGGAAAGGGAAAGAAAGACAGAGAGCAGAAGGTGTTAGAAAGATGGAAAAAGGGGAAAGGAGTCTCAGAGGAAGGAGAAAAAAGGATTCTCAGAAAGAAAATATGCTTCCCCCATTTGAGTTCTGTCTACCATTTGTTCTAGCCACAATAAGGAAATAAACCCCTTTGGCTGTCAATCTCTGTAGTAAGCTATTGACCTCTGACTTTTTTTTTTTTTTTTAATCGTTCAGCCCCAACATACTATATTCAGGTCTGTTCATATATTTTCATAGGCAGACATGGTGCAACTGATATGAAAAGGCCAACGCCTGTCACAAGATCTCATCGGAAAGAAGCCCTTCTGTCCTTGGGAACCAGACAATCACAGCAGGCTGTGTGATTTAGCTTCAAAAAGAATGAAACTAAAGTCATTTGTTGTCACAGCGGCACTTTTCCTTCAAAGCTGCATGGTAGATAGCCAGACTTTTTGCAACAGATTCTTGGTGTCTGAATGGAAAACCCATCCAACAGGACATACAGTGAAATGGTCACTGAGCCAAAACATCTGCTCCAGCTTCTACACAGACTGTTGGAATATTGATTCATATCATGAAAGCAGTACAGCAGACAAGGTAGCTCTGAGTTTACCCCAGATTTGTCCTCTGCAACTTCAGCTGGGGGATATGCTCTTTGTTTCTTCTGAGACATCTTTTCAGTCTCATGGCATGAACTTGGCAAATGTTTCCTTGGAAGAATTTATTAGATGTCCTCAACCAACAGATTTCCCTCCGCACCAGCTTATTTTTGACTACGGATTAAGTGGGATGCATCAAATTGACCCCAAATGGCTTGGAATTGGAACACATTACTTTGCAGAAGTCCCAATACAAGGACCACTTTTATGTCATTTCGGGCTTCGACTGAATGTGACAGTGAAACCACACATTTGCCAGGAATTTTCAAACTCACCATTTTGCTCTGGACATGGCAAATGTTTAAGTCATATCTGGGATGAAGCATATAATTGTCATTGTAGTCAGCACTATTCAGGACAGTTCTGCCAAGAAATTGATAAGTGTTCCAGTAAACCTTGCTACAATCATGGCATCTGCATTAACACAAAGAACCAAAGAGAAGATGATGACAATTCTTATGAATGCATCTGTCCCCCCTCATTTGCAGGTAAGATCAAATCGATTTCTAAGACATGCTAGGCTTGATCCTGGCTGATAGTTGTCCTGCAGTTTCTCGAATGTTTTCTGCAAAAGGAGCTCTTGTTTACCTCCTACTTCACAGGATACTTTAGAGCTTCTTCTGGTCATGTGTTCTGAGCTTATCGTGCCATTGTGAGGAAGCAAAATATGTTGCTGCTGTTCTATTTTCTGTTACAAATCTCACTATTGCGCTTATTGCCTCCTTTGCTGTCTTTGGTTCCCAGCCTGGGAATCTCCCCTGCCACTAAATTTCTAGCATAAATTTGTCACATAATCTGACTTTGCAGGTAGATCTTAAGCAAGCAAGCAAGCAAACAAGCAAGAGACAGGATCAGAATTATGGCATATGAAAACAGGGATTCAGCCCCTTGCCCTGACACGTTCCTATGGAAAACTGATATCTCCTGCCATCACCACCATCAACAACCTTCCTCCCATCATGAATGAAAACCCAGGAAAGGCCATTCTGACTACGATCATGGCACAGGAGAGAGTTCAAGGCCCCCTCCCCCTTGTGCTAGCATACAGCTCTGGCTCCTCTCATTCCAGCGGCTTGTTAAATGGAAATCAGTTAGATGAGGCCCCTACTAGGATTGAGATTGAAAGCAGCCTCCTGAAAAGGGCAACACTAGATTGCCTTTAAGTATGAACTGAGAACATGTAGTACACACACTATGGATCCCTTCTGCATCCACTTAAAATGCCCAGGGCATAAAAACTGGCCTTGGTCCAGTTTCATTAAAAAGGTCAAGAAGCTTTGAGAATGTCAGAAACTAGCTGAATCAAGCACAATGGAAGCTTTTGAACAGGAGCATTATAGGTAAAACCCAAGCAAACAAGGTGGAAAGAATCTGGTTTGATTAAAATGTTTAGGGCCGGACTTGTAGTTGTAGATCGCAGGTATGAGCGAGAGAATAATAGTGTTATTTTTTTTTTTAATGGAAAAAATGCTCAAGTGTGAAGAACAGTAGAGCAACGCTTCAAATGACAAGTGGAATTATATGGTATTTAGGCCCATATGCTGTAAAAGCATAAGTAATTTGTGATTCGCAATTTCCGTAAGCAGCGCGTTTAAGCAGAATTCATCCTGCAACTGTCTTTCCAGGCTGCTCTTCAACATGTTGAAAAGCAAATATTAGAATATGCCTTTTTGTTCAAATATTGGAGTGTTGATTTTCTCCTGAAATTTGACCATATGCATTGCATCTTAGGTATATGAGTTCAGTGAGACTGCCTTGGAGGGAATTGTGTCTAGGGTTATATCTTCATCTGCTAAACATTTAGATATAAATATCTAAGAATTGTCTCCTTGGAGCCATCCACAATACATTTAAATCAGCATCCTGCCAATTATGGGTCTTTGGAGCTTCACAGGCTAGATATTATATCAAGAGCCATTCCCTCTTTTACTTGGTAACTGGAAGTCCCTTTCACTTGTGTGGTTAACAATGAAACCATCTTCCTTCCAGTTTAGATTCTTTTGCTTTACTTGTCTCCATCCCTGGAACAAAGAGATGGTTCCTCTTCCCACAATTCCCTTCGTACTATCTGCATCGCATACCCATATGTTTAGTGATCATACCTGCCCCTTCTGGAAGTGTAGTGTTAGCATCATATGCAATCACTTTCTTCACACTAACAACATTAAAAGAGTGATTTAAACACAACCATGGAAATAACAGCAATAATGCTGCTTTGGATTAATATGCAAGCAAGACATTTCTTGTATACTTTATGCATGCTAATTATAATTCTTGTATTTTCACCTTGATTCTTTGGTAAAGTTCCATTCATTTGGAAAGTTTAGATTACATTTTTTTTCTGTCTTGTTTTATAAGGAAAGAACTGTTCAGAAATAATTGGACAGTGTCAGCGACATAGTTGTGGCAACGGTAACTGTAGCAGTGTTTCTCCAAATACTTTTAGATGCCAGTGTGATAAAGATGCTGCAGGTCAGAAATGCATTTATTACACCCAGTGATATGCCAAGTGGGGAGTGTGTATATTACGCTCTTTTGGAAACACAATTATGTCTTTTCTTTGGGCTGACATTAGCCAGTGAGTTATGAATCAAGAATTTACATTCATATGAGTTCCATAGTGGCTTCTTTATATCTTACTCTTCCATTTGGATCCAGGTATAGAAAGTAGATTAAATCATTTCAAATCCATGTGACTTAAATTATTTATTAAGTAATAAATTAATTTAAGTCCATTGATTCCTCACTCTAAGGGAGACTAATTTTGCATCCAGACCATTGTTTTATATCTACATATAAAATGTTTTGCTCTATATGTCATAACATAAAACTGGGGTTCCCAATATGGTGCTTACATACAGGTACATCCTTCAGTGTCTTCCTGGTTTTATATCCAAAGAGATGACATCTGTTTTGAGAATGGGTATGCCTGTTTTCCCCTGTCAAAGCAGCCTGCTCTCAGTATTGTTGCTGTGGAAGGTATGAAACGAGAGGCCGTCAGCAGTGTCAATTATATCAGACAATGCTTAATTTAATGACACTGATTTCAGCTTGAAGGCACTGAAGTGGCCAGACAACTGCTTTCTCTCCTAGCTGGAGAAGACAGCATTATCAGTCAGCCACAAAGAAGGATAAGACAGGCATTTTTGTTGAATGAAGGGAACCTTGAGGGAGCCTTTGCCCTTCAAGAATGTTGATATGCATTTCAAAATATGCAGGCTAAATAAAAATATGTATTTGGAGAAGATGTTTAGATTGCAATGCATATCTTGAGAGAAAGATGGGTCTAGACAGCCATCTTGAGAGTATTTAAAAGAATGTTCAGGCAAGTTTTTTAAATAACCCTGATATTTAAATAATTGATTTAAATAACTGATGCAAAAATGGAGCTAGGTAGGATTATGTAAGTGTTTGTATAAGAAAGGGACAGAATGAACCCAATATTCTAGATCCAGTAATGTTTTACCTTTATTAACAGAATATTATACATGAATCTGATGATTCTGGTATGATGCAGAAAGAATTTACTGCAAAGTATGATGTAATTATGATGGGAACAACCCAATAAACTGTGCTTCTTGTAATTTATCTCTTGTTATTAAACAAAATTTCTTAAACTTGAGATTTAAGAAATACCAGGATTTTACAATAGTAAAGCTTACTAAAATTAACTTTCTTACTATAACCTTTTCTTGTGAACATAATTTCCTATGGTTCTCCTTCTGGCCTAAATGCAAACCAGATTGTTTTGTGGAGGAAACCATACAGTCTGCCTACACATAAAGCACCTATGCAATTTTTGTATTCATTTCTGATGAAAGACAACAAAGACATTCAGCTGAATTGCTAATTTGGTTCTTTCACTCTAAGGAAAATTGATCCACTGTTTGTTTACCTCAAACTTCTGTAGTAGCCTTTCTCAACCCTTTTCCCCTGGAGGAACCCTTGAAATAATTTTCACTTCTCAGGGAACCCCTGCATAAAAATTGCAAAAACTATGAAAACCTCATAATACAATTCATTTCTAACCTACACAATTTGCAGTTCACAAAATTAACAACCGCAAAACAGCAGGCTGGCAGCTGAGTCATGACACATAAAATATTGCACTATCGTGAGCACTAGCACTGCATGCCACACAAAGTTCCCAAAACAATGTTTACTTTTTCTAATCATGATCTTTGCAGAACCCCTAGTGATCTCTTGTGGAACCACAGTTGGGAAAGGCTGTTCTGTAGTGTTCAATAAGTGATTTACAGACTTCTAATCCAGTACTTTACTCAGCTAATTAAACTATATCTCTAGCAGTTTAAGAGTTTGTGAATTTGCTTTTGGCCCCATTTGTGACCATTAATATTTACTGTGAGAAAAATCCTCTTTTAGGAGTAAGAAATATATGAAACTTTAAAAAAAAGAAGCAGCAGCAGCTAATTTTTTGAACCAAAAAGTAATTTGTGAATGGTATATACAGTATTATTCAATAATTTGACTCTAAGTAGGAAGGAGGACTCATAGCTAATTCATATATGTGGGAGAACCTAGCTTGTTGAACTATACTGTATTTAAGATTGTTGGCTGTTTCATTTGTGATAGCCCCTTCTGTAATGGTATGTGGGAATGACCTTGGGAGACAGGGGGAAGAGCCACATCCAGGGGAACAGTCAGATAAGAGGCAGCTTAGCCTGCAGCAGGAATGTGGGTGTGGCAAATGTCTCAGAAGGGGCCCTCCCTAGTTTCTTGGGCTGTAAAGGTGAAGGGGGAGAAATGTACTTTCAGACTTGCAAGATTCTCTTAATTTAACGTTACAATAAAGTAGAATTAGCCCATCTGGGTGGGCTTCCTGTCTGGACTACCTCACAAGGCTGATAGGTTACATCTGCCCACCATACCTATTAGGGTTGTCATGAAGTGATTGCATGTGTTTCACCTGTCATTTTTATTTATTTACTTATTGTTTATGAGATTTGCTTACTGCCTGAAACCAGTAGGACTATTGCTAGTTAATAGAACGTATATATAAAACATTATACAAGTCAACTGGATAATAATTTAAATGGTAATTTAATTAAGTCTGGATTTAAATGAATGTGAAAAATAGTACATGTATTGAATGTGACACCATTGGTTATACTTAATCTCTGAAGGCCTTCTGGAAAAGCCATGTTTTTACAGTACCTCCTCTCGGAAGGCTGCAAAGACAAGCTGTTCCAAAGGAGGGGAGCTGCTAGAGAGCATACCTATTGCTGAACCCTTCCCACTGTACCTCCTGTAGGTGGGGACTCTTAGCAGGTGCTTCCTATTTGTTTACATAGGACAGGCAGAAACTGTTGGGGAAAGGCAGTCCTTAAGAAAAAGCAAAGGGATAAAATGTGTTTCCTCAAAGCAGATTTCACTATAAAGCTACATACTTTTGATTATGTTATTATCATGGAAATCTTGCAAAAAAAGTATTGGGCAATATATCTACTCAATAGATAGAATTGGATTCAGACTTACTATATTTATAAAAGATCCACTGTAGTCAAGTACTAACTTATGTCCCACTGATACCTTTGGTTTTTCTCTACGGGTGGCTAAGTCTGATACCAACCCTTTGAACTATTAAGGTCATTTTTTCTCTGCAGGAACCCACTTTGCTTTTGGGTGGTATGTTGGCCTAGAAGCCCTCAAATAAGGAACCACCCGGTCATTTCAGCCCGCCCCACTCGGTCCAGCAGAAGGGGCAGGTTGCAGACCCCACCAGTCAAGAGCCTTTTCTGCTGCAGCGCCCGCTCTATGGAACATCCTGCCTCCTGAGATCCAGTGTGCCCCCTCCCTCATGGCCTTCAGGAAAGGGATAAAATCCTGGCTCTGCGAGAAGGCCTGGGGGCCAGAGGGGGGCCCAGACCTGTGGAGATGGCTGGTGGGGTAATGGGTTTGTCCCCCCCCCCCAGCATCTTGCAGGTTTTTAGGGCTAAAAAGTATAGGAGGTTTTAGGGCATTTTTAATATAT